GGATCAAGTGAAACATCCGCTTCGCTATTGGTCACTTTACTGATTTGACCTGTAGCAAGTGGATGAAGCGGATCAAGCGATCAGGTATGGCGCGTGCATTACCGTGCGTTGTGAGTATGGTTCGTGGTTATCCTACATATCCATATCCTACATAGGACAAATGAGCAATATCCCTGGTAAAAGTTTAGGGCCGGGTAGCCGATTCGCACCACGCGCCTGTGTTTCATATCGCGCCATCCACGGTGCAACAGCATATCATATACGAACTTTCAGGTTGACAAACTCATGAAGAACCTCTGGGGTGATCGATTCTTTGACTTGAAGACGAAGAAATGGAGCTCGCAACAGTCTGCTGGTGCCAAGAGAGGTTTCTGTCAGTTCGTGTTGGACCCTATCTTCAAGGTTCGTACACATGGAAACTAATGTTTCATAATTTGAATGGAGAATATATCATTAAGTTATGGATCTCAAACGTTGATTTTAGGTGTTCGATGCCATCATGAACGTAAAGAAGGATCAGGTCGACGACCTCATTGTCAAATTGGGTATCAAGCTTGCGGCTGACGAGAAAGACCTTGAAGGCAAGCCTCTCATGAAGGTTGGTCCAACTTCCCTCCTCATCGCTTTTTCCTTTACTATCTCTGTTCTAGGTGTTCATGAGGAAATGGCTGCCTGCTGGAGACACTATGCTTCAAATGATCTGTATCCATCTCCCATCTCCAGTAACAGCACAGAGGTACAGAATGGAGATGCTGTACGAAGGACCTCATGATGATGAGGCTGCTATCGCCATCAAGAACTGCGACCCCAACGGACCTTTGATGATGTACGTCTCGAAAATGGTACCGACTTCCGACAAAGGACGTTTCTACGCTTTCGGACGTGTATTCTCCGGAAAGGTTGCTACGGGTATGAAGGCCCGAATTCAAGGACCTAACTACATTCCTGGCAAGAAGGAAGACTTGTACGAGAAGACCATCCAGCGTACCATTCTTATGATGGGTCGTTACATCGAGCCCATCGAGGATATTCCATCTGGAAACATTGCTGGTCTCGTCGGTGTTGATCAGTACTTGGTCAAAGGAGGAACCATTACAACATTTAAGGATGCTCACAACATGCGTGTCATGAA